TATATATGTGTGTGTGTGTATATATGTGTGTAATATATAAGCATTGGTGGTTCAGTGGTAGAATTCTCGCCTGCCACGCGGGAGGCCCGGGTTCGATTCCCGGCCAATGCAAACACTTTTTTGCACACATATATATATATTTTATTTTTTTTTTGGTGTAATTGCATATAGTGGGGCGGGGGGGGGAGAGGAAAATTTGAAGCTGCCCACAAAGTTTTAACAATGAAGGAAATAATGTATATTTTTATTCACAATCATGAGTGTAAGAAACACTTTCTTGCAGGGAATACCATCTTGTCACTCTAATGCACGTGTCAAACTCAAGGCCCGCGGGCCGAATCCGGCCCGCCACATCATTTTATGTGGCCCGCGAATCCGCCAGCAAAAAAAAAAAAAGTTTTTTTTTTTTTTTTTTTATTTTGGAAAAAAAAATTAAAGTTAGACTTGGAAATAAAAGTATCCCCATGGTCGAAATTATGAGATAGAAAGTTGAAATTATGAGATAGCATGTTGTCTGTGACATTACAACAGGTGGACAGGAGAGGGAACAGCCCGTAAAGAGGTTTTCCAACAAGTGATTTGAGTTGAAAAAGATCAACAAATAATCCCAAAATGTCCACGAAGAGAAAAATTGATGCAGAGGGAAGAAAATGTAATGAAAGATGGGAAAGTGAATACATGTTTGTGCTTCAAGGAGAAAAACGGGTCTGTCCTCTGTTATGAGGCGTGTCGGTGATGAAGGATACAATTCACGTCGGTATTTTGACACCAAACACGGAGCTAAATTTAGCCTCCAAGAAAAACATAAAATTGTGCAAGAATTAAAAGGCAGACTGCAATCACAGCAGAATATATTTAGAAAAGCTACAACCCAGTGCATGCTAAAGGTATGTGACCAGGTGTGATACAGACTTTTACAAATGTCAGTTTGTGAAGAAACACCATCACAGACCGAGTTCATGAACCTAGCAGCAATCTAACAACACAGCTAGCTAAGAGACGAGCAGGTACTCGTCTTCTTCATTAGCTGTTGATGAAATCACAGACAACACGGACACAGCGCATCTATCCATGTTTATAAGACCTGACTCTCAGTGAGGAGCTCTTGGATGTAGCTGCCATGCACGGGACGACGACGGGGACAATAGTGATGCAGAGCAGTGACAAAAATAGCTTTGAACAAAGTTAATGTAATAACTTGTGTTTGATGATATTTGTCTTTGTTATTTTCTTTAATAGTTTGATCTTTGATAGAGTAATGTGGGTTTCTTAACCCTAAATTAAAATGATTTATGTTATAATAACAGAAATGTGCTTAAATATCATTTTACATTTATATAACTGCATATACAATATTTTTACACTTGAATAAACAATAATCAAATGCAGAGACAGTTATTTACCAATATGTTAGGGAGTAGTTACAGTTATACAGTCTTACAGTTACAACCGGCCCTTTGAGGGAAACCGTGATGCTGATGTGGCCCGGAGTGAAAATGAGTTTGAGACCCCTGCTCTAATGCATTGTCCTAGAGTTACTTGTCCTGGTGTCTGTAGTTAGACAGGTTCATGTGTCAATGTGATCTTACTGTTGTTCCTTTGTATGCACACTTCCCACTGAACACCAGTTTGCTTGTGTTTGACTGCCTGGATTTTATCCCCACCCCCACAGGGCGCGCTGTCCTTACATAACGACTGTGACGGCACCGACTACGTGTTTACCCTCAAAGGAGTGGGAGAGCCCCCCCTAGCAGTGGACCATGTGGTATTACAGTGCTCTGTAGGTCAAACAACACACACACAGATCGCTGTCCCCAACTACAGCCAGAACAAACTCACTCTCAAGGTAAAAGCAGACATGCAAATAACTCCCACACATACTGTTGCTTGCTTGTGAACAAGGTTTACTCTTTTGCAAACTCTGTCTTGTGTCTGTGTACACGCACGCACACACACGCACAGGTGGTGACAGACCTATCTGTTGTGGGTGGCCCTCCCTCTCTGGAGATCTACCCTGGTCATAGCGCTCAATACACCCTGGCTGTGTCACCATGGAAACGAGGAAAACAGACAGGTGAATCCCCACCCCCCCCCCCCCCCCCCCCCCCCCCCCCCCCCCCCCCCC